TGCGCCCCTCCCGAGGCAGTGGCTGCAGCCTGATCTCTTTGGCTGACCCAGTTGCCTTACGAGGCACAAGGCACACTTTCCCCTCCTTCCTGGACGCCTCACCTGCTCCAGGATGGCCTTGGACACGTGGGAAGAGCTGGAAAGCCAAGAGACAGGGGACAAAACAGCGTCTCTTTGTCTTTGCCGACTCGGCACGGCAGATGGCTTGTCCACAGAGAGCCAGTCCGTTCTCCAGTCTGCCTCTCGCACGCCTCCTTCTCCAGCTTCTGTGAATTTTTGCTTCCAGTTCTTTGCCAAATTCATCAGAACAGTCAGAATCAGCCTGAAGCCATGAGCGCCTGAACCTCCAGGCTTGTTTTGAAATGCGAAAGACCCTAACATTTCGAGATAATCCCTCTTTGATTGGAAAAGGGGGGCAGAGCCTGTAAAAGGTCACAGATGATTTCCAAAGGCCAATGCCCCTGACCACACAGCTCGGAAAGATCACCTCGGCAGCGAAAGCTATGTCCTGGGGGACAGTCACACTCCAGGGACCAAAGCTTCAGGCGACCAGTTGTCCTGGCCCCGCGCGGGGTGTGCAGCAGCTGAGCAGACAGGACACCTTGAGGCCCTGGGAGCTAAGTGTTCAGCTAAACCATTTATCTGCATCCCTGTTTGGCAAATTCTGCCCCCGCCCCCGCCCCCACCGCCCCCAACATTTAGCAAGATGTACCTAAGGTTTCACAGTCTGAATATTCTAAGTATAATACTTAGATATGTACTTCCAATTGAGAAATCAATAATAATCCTTAATAGCACTTATAAATACTATGACTGGGTTATTCGTTCTTTCCCCTTCTAAAAGCATGGCTCAGGGCACCATCTCTTTTCATGGCCATGCTTGTCTTCTGAGCACAGTGAATCCTGTGAGAGAGAATGAGCATTTTCCTCCTCCCTGCCCGCCCCCCCGCCCCCCACACACACTCTCAAACCTCTGGGAGCTTCCTGACTCCTGCTTGGTTCAAAACCTTGCTCCTCTCAAGAGCACCGGTGTTTAAATCAGGAAAGAGAAATAAATGGTTAAACATGAATAGTAGGATCCTCTTAAGTGACCATCCCACAGAAGACTGGCTCTTCCTTTAAGATACGTGAGGGCTACACCATCCCCATCCACGGCGAAGGGAGTCAGTGTGGCTCAGCCTCCATTACTAACAGTAATAATAATAATAACAGCCAGACCTGCATAGCGCTTACTGTATGCCTGCCGCTTCCTATATTTAATCCTCAAGCAATTTTAAGAGGTAGGTTCTATTGTCCCCCTTTTTCAGATGATGAAACAAAGGCTGGGAGGTGGTAATTTGCCCGAAGGCACAGGGCTCCTGAATGCCTGGATTCACACTTGGAGGAGGCCTCAGGGTTTCTTTAATGACCAAGAGTCAGTCTGCACCACGACCTAGGGTGGCGTGTCTCAGTGGTTGATCATTGACCTATGAATCTGGAGATCACAGTTCGAGAGAGCCATTGCTGATTAGAGACCCGGTTTCAGGCTCCATCCCCAGTAGGGGGCAGGGAGGGGACAGGCCGGAGGCAGCCCATTAGTGACTTTTCTCTCATAATTGGTTTCTATCTCTCTCTCCCTTCCTCTCTGAAATCAATAGCAATACATTTTTTAAAAAAAGAACGAGGACCCCAAATTTCACTTTCTTAAATCAAATACACTTTTCCCTGTACTAAACTGTGCATTCCCTGACTGGACTGATTTTGTTTAAAATTTTCACATCTTGAGCTACTTATTTGAAGAGCCCTTTCCAATTTCGCTCTGAGGATGTAGGTTAGAAGCTGTTTCTGCTCTGGTTACCGCAGCCATGCACTTAGCTTCCTGGAGAAATCATTTTGCAGACCAGTTTCCTGGGGAATCACTTTGCTGGTCTAGTTCTGCCTGTGGCATTATGGACAGTGGGGTTTACCTAAGACACACCCTGGGCGGTGTGTACAGAATCTGCGAGCTGGGAGGGAGAAGCAGACACCTCCATGGTGCAGTTTGCTTTATCAGAACTGCCCTGGACAGGCCAACCACCCTCTTACCCTTCAGGGCTTTGGGGGAAGACACAGCACCTCTAGACACAAGTCCTCCTTATGTGCGACACTTTCACTGGCAGGAAGTTCCCTGTTCTAATCTGAATCTTTCATACCAGGCACTCAGAGCTGCATGATCTCATCCGATCTTTAATCAATCCCACAAGGAAAGTGCTATTATTATCCCCTTTTGTAGATGAAACGAAACATGGATGGACTGAGTAACTTGCCCAAAGTCAAGCAACTAGTTAGTGGCACAGCCTAGATTTGAATGCAGACAATCGCCCTCCAGAGCCCAATTTGTAAACTTTATGATGGACCGTCTCCCCGTCGAGGGTCCATTTCCTGTGCAGAGGGCCTGTGCTGGAGAGAAGGCCTATTTGCTGGTCTCTGGATCGTAGAATTGGATGCATGTTATTGCATTGCCTCTGCTTTTTTTTTTTCTTTTAAAACCGATAATTAGCTTTGAAAAACCCTCAAGTTCAACGTTCACTGAATGTAGGAGGTGACTAATTGTGGCTGGGAATACTTTGAAGGGCATGGAACGGATGATGAAAGGCCACTGTGGCCGCCCCTGCTGTGGGGCAGAGGTCCATGAAGCCAGATGGCCTTGTCCTGGGCTCTGGCTCCCTGTGTTCCCCTTTCCTGTGCTTTCATAGCCTTCGGTGCTCACCTGGTGCCCCCGGCATGCTGTGTGCTCCTCTGCAGCTTCCTGTTTCCCGTGGATGTGTGCGGGATGAATGCTCACTCCAGAGGTGTGACCTGACCCTCATGTACCTGTGCATGCTGGTTTGCAGGCCTTGCTTTCTAACACTTTCACGAGAGGCTTTGGATTTTAACTTTCCCATCCTCTGATCATCACAGTGGAAACACTATTGCTAGGCCGACAGCACACTCATTTGTGTCAAAAATAAAATAAAAAATAAAATAGGGAATTCATGTTGTTGGCAAAAAAACGTAAGTGTACTGATGAGCATGTCTTCATGGCTACTGAAGTGAATTTGCACATGTACATTACAAGCCCCTCAAGACTGGGGTGGAACTTGCTCAACAAATGTAAGAAGCAGTAGTAGAGTGGCCCCCATGTTTTATGTTGATTTCTGAGGACGTACATGCTAAGTAAAAATGCTGCACTTGACACGAGATCTATGCTCGTCGGTGTTGTCCTGCTGCAAATGCCTCGTCTTCACACTACAGTCAGAATAATCTTTTAAAAACACAAACCTGATTATAGCCCCCCACAAAAACCCTACAATAGTTCCCCATTACTATGGTGCTCAAGGGCAAAGTCTTGACAAAACTTGCCTAGACCCCTCCCCGACTTTGCCTTTCACTCTATTTCTCTTCATAATTCCCTTTTACACTCTATTCTCCTCACACTCCTTAGCTCCAAGCCTTACACACCTGTTCTCTCTGCCCCTAACTTGCTCTCATTTACCTTCCTCCACATCACACACATCTCCTGAGCCCAACTAATTTTATTCATCTTCCTTGATCCCCACTGAAGCCCTATCCCCATTAAATGGGGTCAGGGGCTTGTGATGGGCTTCCCTATCCCAGCCCTACCACCTTCCGTTGTACTTACACGTTAATTGGCTACCTCCTTGGGCAGCTGTTGTGAGGGCAAAGAAGGGGTCTGTCTTATTCACTATTGCATCCCCCTTGCCACACAGGTTGGGGCATAGAGCAGGTGTCCATGAATATTTATTGAATGAATATATTTATCCATGATATCTCCAAGGTCTCCTGAACTGCTTCTATCAGAACTTTTAAGAGGGTCACACAGGAACGACCGATTCCTGAACCAGGCCGCTGCAGAGAGCTCTTAAAATACACGCAGAACAGGGCCCCCTTTGCCAACTTTCTCATCTTCACCAAGGGAGGCAGCTACACTAGCCCTGGGCAGCCTCCCACTGCTGGGAGCCCCTTGCATTACCCAGTGTGAACCATCGGTCTTCTCGGAAACGCGGGACCACGGAATTCAGGTGACTCTCCTCAGCCTTACCTGAGAGTTCTCAAAACATGATTGTTCTGGGTCTTAGCATCAAAGTGTCAAATGTGTTCAAAATAAAGCCAAAGCTCACGTGCTCCCTCCCTTAACCATGGATCGAGAAGCTCGCCCTTGGCATGGATTTTGTTTTGGATTTTGATCTAGGAATCCGTTTCCTGCAGATTACAGCATGCAAAACATGGCGTACTTCACACAGACATATGTTCCCTAACTGATTCTGTGAAGGCAGTGGTTTTCAAATCTCATTTTGTCCCCCGCCCCCAGGTCCCCCGCCAGGAGACATTTGGCAATGTGTGGTGTCGCTTCTGACTGTCACAATTTGGAAGGGAAGCTACTGGCATCTGGCGGGTAGAGACCAGGGAGGCTGCCAAACATCCTACAATGCCCAGGACAGCCCCCGCAACAACGCATGCTCTCACCCAGATGTTACCGGTGCCAAGGCGACAAGCCCCGAGCTGAGATGACACTCCTGGCACATGAGAACTAGGCCCTGACTATCTGTGTGGTGTTTCTAAGACGTATGAACTAAAGCAGAAAAGAATAAGTCAAAAGCAGTAAGGTGGCTGTGGCTTTTTCTCTGCCTACGATTTAGAAATTCAGACGCACAGCCTGTCTCTAAAGTAGAACAATCCAGTTTGGGAAGGTTTCCTAGGTAGAGCCCAGACCTGGATCGATGAATCAAACCACCTATGGAAATCTCCTAATACAAGGCATTTAGCATGGAACTGAAAAGACTCTTGAGTGTGAAAAGGAGTTTTGGTGAATTCAAAACCATATTTGTTTTTCCGCAATGAAAATGCTGATGTCACTTATTTTTCCTAAGGCTATAACCATTTGGATAAAGATATTCACTTGAAATGCAGGTGAAATGTAAATTGCTACTTTTCTATACAGACAATCAGTGTATTTATACTTAATCCATAAAGGCATGATGTTACAAAACACATTTGTATATTGTGAAGCCATCCGGCATCAAATTTTCCAATTTATAGACAACTTTGTATTTACAGAACAAATCAGTAAATCAACCATTTTTTCCCCCGGTTTATAAAAGGTCACTGAAGTACACACACAGTGTGTATAAAAGCAGGTAAGGCTGATAATACATATTTACAGTAGATACAAATTAATCTTTCATATTTAAGAAAATGCTTTTTGTATATTTTTTTTCTCCATCAGATTCCCTACTCTTAGCAGGATATCCCATGCTGGAATTGCTTATTGCTTTTTGGCTCACTGATTTAAAAATCACTAGGGTTTTTTTTTTTTTTTACACACATGAATTACTAATGTTCTTATCTCTTTGGCTAATGCAAATGTGGTAGAGTGAATGAAAGAAAAAGATAAACTAATTCAATATTACAGTTCTTAATATCAGGTTATTAATTTGGCCACAGCCCCCACATCAATAAAGTATTGCATAACTCATTTTATACATGACAGTGACATGTCTTGAGTCTTGTGTTACACTATTTGGGCATAAATGGGCAATGTAAACAAGATTTCAGATTTTCGGTAAGGTCTAGAATCCTTGGCTTTCTTTTCACAAAGAGCAATGTCACTAGCATCTTACGCATCTTAGATTTTAAAATCTCAGTGCAGAATGGCCTGTGACTTACACAGGCACGTTGCACACAGCACAGACGATTACCAAAGTAACTGCGCTCTGAAATGAAAAAGGAATCTCCTCATGGGGTAAGTCAGTAGAGAATTTTCATAAAACTTAACGGAAAACAAAATAACTGCCCTCTGCTCCTCCCACAATTCTGCTGTATGTTCAAAACAGAAGGTTGTGATTACTTAAAAAAAACAGACACAGCAAATAACTCAAAGTCAGGGTCTAATTAAAAGACTAGAAGTGGCCCATGATATCACAAGGGATGAGTATTCTTCTTAAAGTATTGATAGTCACAATAGAATTGAAATGTTCCTTTAAATAAATAAAAACTCGATTGCTTTTAATGCCACAAACAAGACAAATCAAACAAGAGCTGCTCTGTTAATTTTCACTTGTTGGAAATAATCTTTGGGTACAACATAAAGGTATAGTTTATTCTCCTTGTGCTTCCTAAGGCTGTTAGGGGAACAGAATAAAATCAGTTTGCCTTTTCCAAGGGGAGCTATTAAGTTCTTAAAAGGAGCAAAACATTTTCATTCTGTTTCCATTCTCAGATATATTAGGGGGAAGAGTTTATTTTAGGGAATAAAAAAATGTACTAACGTAGAAGGGCTAGCCTTCATTTAAAAAAAATGAATTGGCTTTAATACAAAGAGAAAGAAATGGCTCTATGGGCAAAATTTAAGTATGGTGACCAGTTTTTTAATTGTAAAGTAGGTGCAACATTAAAAAAAAATGTTACAGCTCTGCATGACCTGTCATGCCAACAATGTTTACATTAACTGCTTACATGAAATCATATAACTGTAAAAGAGAAAGGGGGGGAAAAACCCTGGTGGACTGAAACAACCACACATAACACCCACATCAAAGCTGTGAGCAGCCAATGAAATCATGGGTGCAAACATACTTTACATGGTCTACTGATGTAAAGTATACATGGGTGGGGGAAGCACAAACCCACTTAGTTTAAAATATCAAAAGGAAGGCTTGATTGACACAAACTCAGTCTGAAGACAAAAAAGCAAAGGCTGAAGAAACTTGTACATATGAACACACACACACACACACACACACACACACACACACGTGCCTTGACAGACATAGGCACTTATCTGTGACTGAAATCAATCATATAAAACAAAACAGTAGAAAAGCAGGTTGGTGCACAAAAAATGGACAACGTTAATGGTTGAAACACACTGAACATATCAACTAATTACAAAAATGGGCCAACTCAACTACACAAAAGATGACTCTAGGACTGGGGAAAGACAAAACGAACCTACCCCAGAAGGAAAGGTCCCTCCCTCCAGCCCATGGAGCCCAGTGTGGCCAGTTGCTTGGGGACAGGGCTGAGGGTGGGAGTGGAAAGGACACAGAGACGCAGGAGACCTGGGGGAAGAATTAAGAGCTGCTGATATTACAGAACAGCCCAGGAGGAGTGTTCTGTGCTGTGGCCCCAAGAAACCAGTTGGAGGAATGAGCTTGGTCTCCTTTTTCCTGAGTTACTGGAACTCTGCTACATCATGGGACTGAGGAGTTTGGGGGATGGATGAGAGAGGAGTCAGGGTGAGCTATTGGAGGGCCTCCCAGCAGCCTGATCACTAAGCTGCTGAGTGAGCCCTGGACTAGGGGGACAAGGCAGCGCTCCTTATGGGAGTAAGAATTTGGGGGTGGGGCTGGTCGTAGGAAAAATAAAGGAATAATGGACTTCTTTTGACAATACATCAACAGAAGCCTGGATGGAGGCCTGAAAATTTGTTCAATTGCTTGGGAGATAGGGTTATACCACCACCACAAAAATTGTGGAAAAAAAAAAAGACAGAAAATTATGTTGTGCTACATTTCTTATTAATAACCTTGTACTTTACAATGGCTCACAGTTTTAGGCTTGTATACTTGTAATGTAGTATTTTCTTTCTACATTTGTTTCAAATTTGTTTCTTATTTAATATAATATAAATAATTTGGTTAATAGATTTAACCTGCACATTTCAGCCACATTAATATATATATATATATAAGAATCTGTTAATGGTATAAATAATTCTTTAAATAAAATAAATCTGATATGTTACATAATACTGATAAAAAATTACCATTGCTAATAATTTTGAAAGCCACCTTAGCTTGCGGATTAAGTAATACTGATAAATGGATGGATATATGAAACTTGCTTTGATGATTCATATTTCTTTTTGCCCCCAAAGGAAAACTGAATTATAACCAACCTTCCCTCTGATGATGATTTCAAAGTGGGGCTTTAGCCTTCATGTACAGGAGCAGAAGAAAGTTTTATCTTGTCAGGTATTGTTTGCAAAGAAACTTAGCTCTGAGCATCACGGTGGTGCAGCATAAGCAATCTAGTTCAATAGGTGGCTATCAAACGTTACCTACAGAAATGACTGAGTAAAATATTCCCTCTAAGATTTTTTTTTTTTATAAAACCTATTCTACTTTAAAACTTAGGTAAAAAAAATATGCAACAAATGGTTGCAGTTTCTGAATTCTTAATTTAGACCTGTGAGCCCTCAACCCTTTAGAAATCCGCAAGGTTTCGACTTCCTAGACACCCGAGGTCAAGTCCAGTGCTTGCAGGCCAAGTGCGTCCAAACAGACAATATAAATGGACACTCAGTGGTGTGCAGTGTATGTCATAATTCAGGGAATGCACATCATCATGCCTTTTCTCTGCTGTTAAATACAAAAACAGCATCTTTTACATTATCATAGAAAAGCATTTAGGTTGTATTTTTATTTATCACTTTACACTGGTAGTCTCTGGTAGGTGTACTCCATAGAAACCAAAGAATTTTGTACACTATTTCTTTGTACAATAAAAGATAAAGTGTGCATTAAGTACGCTTGTACATGACAATATTGTACAATATTTACATTTCTGATATCACCATGAAATTCTGTATTTTCTATATACAACATTGAAAAGTCTTCAGAAACATTTGGACTATCTCTTATAATCACAATTTTAGTGTTATAGAAAAAAAGGGTTTCTCAGTCATCTCTTGACCATTTATCACGCCCATCACCCAGGGATTTTGATTGGTTTTTCCAGCATTCATTATCCTTCCTGATCAAAAAAATATTGTATCACTGTTTCTTTTAGCACCCTGTGGGGGCTGTAGCTCTCTGCCATGGTATAAATATTGATATAACGGTGGCTATATCAATACCTATATGCAGAGAGATCTGTGCACGTTCCTTTCATAAACACTGTGCATGGTGTAGTAGTCCCTGTTATCTGGAGATCTTCCTCCTCTTGGGTTTGGGGGGCCTCATTTGTCTGTCTCCATGTGGGATTTGGTGAACCTGGAAATAAAGAGGCGGGAAAACAACAAGAGAGGGTGAAATCATAAATACCTTCTGATTCCTGACACAGAAACGTAGGAAACAGGCTCAGGCTTTTTATTTGTAATCATTGCTTTCGTTGGGTGTTTAAAATGTTTACCAAGACCCTAGATCTCAATGTGCCCACGGTCACTGCAGAATATGAGGAGTCCTGGAAACTTGGAAGCGGAGCAGCGCTCTGTGGACCCACAACAGTGGAACATAAAGGAGGAACTGGGACAATTCAAGCGCGGGAGAGGCGATGCGCAGTTGCCACTGCTGCTGTGCACTGAAGATGAAAACAAGGCCGTTCCCATCAGAGAGCCCTAGGTCATCAATGCCACCAGGACCTGGAAAGTGGGTGAATACACACCAGCCATGTTTTCTCCTTCACTCATCACCCTACTTATTGTACAACTACTAAGAAGGGTCAGTAATTGCAAGAACCTTGGCCCAAGAAGTTCATTTATGAGAAGAGTCAGGATGGAAAATGGAACACCACCACCATCTGTTGGCAGATTTGAGCTTGTGTAGTCTGGGAAGAGCAATTAATACAAGTCGTCTTTATAAACTAACACAGAACTAGCAGGATTCAGGGCTGTGTATCAGATTGAGCAGAGGCGAATCAAACGAGGAGCATGATCGCCAGGTATCGGAAAGCAGGTGGTGTGGTTTCGAGGGGCAGAGGACAGGTGTTAGAGGGGTGATCAGGTGCCCCATATTGTACTGTGGCTACTGATGAGAAAGGGAAAGGTCAAGTTGCAGGAAAAGCAGGATGGACCCAAGGCAGCGGCTTAGCAAATGATTAACAACTAGCTAGCCCCCCGTGGAGGGACACAAATACATGGTAGCACATGCCAATTTCCGCAGTGTAAATACTTCCACCATGGTCGATTTCAAGCTACCAATGTGATGTCTCAGAACTAAGAGTTAGGAAGAGATGTACACAATCAGCTCGTGATATTCACAACAAGTTGGCTCTATTGTATGTTTTAAAAAATAACATTTAGATAATAGCAAAGGTCAGTGTTATTCAGGGTCAAATGCAGAAGACTTCTTAAAAAATAATATTTAAATTTTAAAAATAACATTTATGCATTTTTTCAAAATGCCTCTTCCTCTTAACCCTTTCCTACACATTTAAAAAAGCCATAGCCTCTGATAAGGAGTTATAACTGAAATCTTTTTATAATCGAGGAAAGCCATTATTCAAGAATATAAACTAGTAACCCATGAAAAGGTATTTTGTTTAGCCATCCGATGTTTTACTATTTTAAAAATAGTTGTCAACACTAAAGAGAGAAAGAGAAAGAGAGAGAGAGAGAAAGAGAGAGAGAGAGAGAGAGAGAGAGAGAGAGAGATTTTATTTCTAGACTTCTAGCATCTCAGGAAAATAAGGAGCCCCTCCTGCAGGGTGCTCACACTCTGGTTGCCACAGTCCCCGTGGCCCAAGACTGTCCCCTGGCCACAGAGGCCAATGTCCTGAGGCAGGCACTAGAGAGATGCTCGCTAAACCCAGTTTCTCTTCTTCCCGAGCAGGCACCTTGTATAAGGCATGTCCTCGTCCATGAGTTAAGAAGGCCACATGAGCCCTAGCCGATTTGGCTCAGTGGATAGAGCGTCAGCCTGCGGACTAAAGGATCCCAGGTTCGATTCCGGTCAAGGGCACATGCCCAGTAAAAAAATATGCAACAAATGGTTGCAGCTTCTGAATTCTTAATTTAGATCTGTGAGCCCTCAACCCTTTAGAAATCCGCAAGGTTTCGACTTCATAGGTTAGCAAATGATTAACAACTAGCTAGCTCCCTGTGGAGGGACACAAATACATGGTAGCACATGCCAATTTCCGCAGTGTAAATACTTCCACCATGGTCGATTTCAAGCTACCAATGTGATGTCACAGAACTAAGAGTTAGAAAGAGATGTACACAATCAGCTCGATCCCCAGTGGGGGCATGCAGGAGGCAGCTGATCAATGATGCTTTCTCATCATGGATGTTCTCTCTCTCTCTCTCTTTCTCCCTCTCTCTCTCTCTCTCTCTCTTCCTCTCTGAAATCAATAAAACTATGTGTTTTTAAAAAAAAGGCCACATGATTGGGTGAGGCCGAGAGTCAGCAGGAGTGATATCTGTCAGGCCTGGCCCGTAAAACCTACCCTGGTGGTGCTCTGTGTGCACTCTCTTCTCGAGGCTGCAGGGCTCGATGCCAAGATTATAATGGAGCAGCCTGATGCTCTAAAGAACAGTGGATGCTAAAGAACCTGGGCCCCTGAAACACTGTGTGGAGCAAGACCGTCCCCAGTCAAAACCAGACGGGAGCGAGCAGTTCTGTGCGGAGCCTCTAAGACCGGCAGTGGCGGGCAGCCTGATCTCACCAGCGCGTCTGGGTTGGCATGTCTCAGTCCACACGAATTGCTGTTTTCCTCACACCTGACTCACCTTACCTATGGGTATTATTTCCTTGGTCCTAGAAGGCATTTGAGTGTATAATCCTAGTTCCAGACTTTTCTGTCAGGAAATTTAACATCTCAGGGCCTCAGTTTGCCCATCTGTGAAGTGATGGGTTGGATCACAGAGTCTCTAAAGCCCAGACCAATGCCAACATTCTGTGAGTCTATAACATACACCTGTCGCGCAATAGCCACTGGGTGGCTCTCAGATAGCCGTGTTAGCACAAAGTGTCAAGAAAAAGGAAAAGGAAAAGAAATGACCTTTCAGAGCTGAATAGCTTTAGGTATGTCACATATTTAAAACGATTACCAAAATTATACTTTGAGGGTTTACATTAGTGAATTAGAGGATAATGATTAAATTGCTTACATTCAACACTGTTATATGCACTGTTCAATAAAGGAAAGAAAAAGTAGATACTACTTCTCTAAAACCAGAGGTTATAGTGTTAATTTGCTTAACAACAGAGTTTTGTGCCAAATATTTTATTTTTTAGCTAACAGTACAAAGGAAATGAGAGGTCTATGAACTGTTGATCTTGACCTTGTTGTTCAATTTCACTTTTTTGTTCTATGGACAAAATTTGCATCAGTGAATATTTAGGCAACATTAATGGCCATGGCTATTCAGGGTCCAATGCAGAAAGCTGTGGTTTGAATTCAATATTTTGTTGCTCATATTTTTTAAAAAAATGTTATATGCAGGGGGAAAAAAAGTTACTTATCTCAGAAAAAGACATAGTTAATACCGCTAGGTTATTTTTTTTAATTACTTTTGGATCTTTTCTGGTATCAGTCTTCTTTAGAGCCTAGTAATTTAGTATTGCTACATGAGTTGCTTGACAATATTTTAGACTATAGCAAAAAAGTGCAATACAATTTATTTTCAAAGAAACACAGTATAATGGAAAAATAAATTAACTTACAGTCCCAGACATTTTGTCCAGTTCACTCATGGCCTCATGAATAGCAGCTTCTAAATGGTTATTTAGCTTTCCACTTCTAGAATTAATGAAAACAACACATCAGATTAATAAATTAAAGTAACAAAACGGCAATTTAATTCCCTAATCAGAAAACAGAAGTGCCAATTCCACCAGAGAAAAATCAACTTATATTCACATTTGGAAAATTCAGATGACAACACACTCTGGAATTCTCACCACTGAAGGCTGACGATAAAATAGCAGATCTATGGGCGGGAGGTGGAGGGGGGGAGGGATTGAACACACGATTGGGGAAAACGGATTCTCTCCCCTTCCACATGCTTCTTCCACATCTGATAATTTTGCAAGGAATTTGGACCATGGGTCTTTTTCCCATAGACGCAGCTTATCCTCCAGCTGGTCCTGCGTTCTTCTGGTTCTGGCTTGTTTCTTTTCGGGAAGCAGCCAGGCATGTGGCCAAAGGGAAGGGCGGAGGGGCTGAACTGCGGGCTCTGGCCACTAGGGAGCTCCCTCTACCTTCTCTGGAGCTCCGGGCTTCAGGAAGCTAGTGAAGGCTGATATTCAGATGGGAGCTGGCTGCAGAACTGGCCACACCCAAGGCTCCCTCCACGCGGGGAGCCCACCCCATTTCCCCCCAAACCCAAATGGCATAACTGTTTGAACAGATAAAGAATGACGGTCTCAGAGTGTCTATCACTTGCCTGACCTCTTCTCCCCATTCAGCATTCCTTTACACACGCTTGGCCTGAATAACACGCACAGCACAGCTGCCTGGATTGAAACTTACATCTGGGAAGCTGTTGGACTAATTACTAAACGCAGGCAAATCCACACCAGCCACCTCTGCAGTCACGTACCCTTTGTCCATTCTGTTAACTTATTTCCCCTGCTTTATGCAGATAAATAATTACCCAGTTATTCTGAGTAAGGTGATCCATTTCGTTTATCTTCCCAGGACAACTATGAGAAAAGCTGCAGAGCTTTCCAAGGGTTAAACTGTATCTCAGCATCTACAGGGAGATCAGAATTTACAAATACAGAAGAATTTGGCTCACAGTCCCATTTAATTTGGCTCACGACGTGTTTAAAAATGCATTTGCCTTTAGATGAGGCCTTTAGGCTCACCACCCGCCTCGCCTGGTATCCTCACGTACCAGGACGGACCATTCCTACACCTAGTTTCTGGGTATACCTTGAAGAACTCTGAGTCTCCCATCCCTGAGTAGCACACGGCTGGGCACATCATGATGCCTATATTTATTAAATAAAAATATGTGTCCAAAGGTAGCATGCTGGCCCTATATTTTGGAAAACATATAGTATGCACTTAAGCCAGTTTAACCAAAAGGAAAGATGAATGCATTGGCTGTAACCACATTATAAGGGTAACGTGACACCAAGCCTCTTCCACCCACCTTTGCTGACCTGTAAGCTAGCCTCCAGCGTCTATATTTCCCAGGTACGTTCAGAAATCTAAGCAATGCAGAAAAGTGCATAAAATAAATGAACAACTAACAAACCCATTTCCAAGAACAGACTGTTAACAGACGACATATTTAAGTCCTTTTTCTTTAAAAAATTAAAGTTGAAGTTCCCATTTGTCAACAATTCCCAGGCCCATTCTCTCCCACCCTCCTCTCAAAGGCAACTGTGTTGCATATCTTTCTAGAATGTGTTCATATTTTATATGATTATCCATAAACAGTACCTAGGATTGTGTTATCAGTATATATATCTCCCAATGGTGTCCTGATAATACACACCATTCTGCAACTTATCTCCACCCCCCCACCCCCCCACCCCCCCGCTCTGTTATTACTGTTTGGAGCACTGTCCAAACTGATATAACCTGTTATATACTGTTTTTATTTACCTACCCATTCTGGTTTTAAGAGGGCCAGGGTACCTAGGGGAGTCAGTCTGCCCTGTGTTCGCAGTGAGGAGTTGGCTAGGCAGAATTCTGGGTGACTGGGCAGGAATCCAGTCTCAGGACTGCAGGGCCGCCTACGCTTAGCTGAGGTTTTTGGGGGCTGTTTGGAGAAGATCTTGATAGTATCACACATTGCCTAGTTGCCCAACAGTATTACACCTAGTATTATGTGCTAAACAGATTTATCCTTGCTATTTCTTTTGTGTTGAAAAGTATGAACATAAGTTTTAAAATATATTTCTTTGTTACACATTTTGATGATAAGATATTATGGGTTTAAAATTGACTACATAAGGTTCTAAATACCTAAAAAGATGGTAAAATGTTTTCATGAAAAATCATCAGAGAATCTCGTTTCTCTCACCTTTACCTCAATAACAAAAATAACTACTATCTATTGAAAATTTTCTGTGCCAAGAATTGTGTTAAATCTTTACATCGTTATCTTATTTAAACCATACAACAATCCTAAAAGGTAGGTATTATGATAACTGCTTGCATGCAATACCTTATGACTTTTGTAGGGGGAATTGGTGAAACCGATTTTAATTTTATAATGAGGAAAATGAATATTTAAGTACAACTAGTTTTAAAAGTAATAAACAGAGTCATAAATTTTTTATGTAACTATTAAAAATTACAGTGGCTGTACTAATCTACATTCCCACCAGCAGTGAATGAGGGTTCCCTTTTCTCCACCACCTCTCCAACACTTGTTATTGCTTGTCTTGTTGATAAGAGCCATCAACATGGACAGACCTCGAGAATATTATGCTAAATGAAATAAGCCAGTTGGAAACAGCTAAGAACCATATGATTTCACTCATGTGGGATATAAAACTGAAACTCGTGGACAGCAGTGTGGTTGGTGGTTGCCAGAGGAAAGAGGGAGGGGTTGGGGGGGAAAGAAAATTTGACTTTGGATGGTGGGCACACAGTGCAATATACAGATCTTGTATATAGAACTCTGTATCTAAAACCTATGGGATCCTATTAGCCAATGTTGCCCCAATAAATTTAATTAAAAATTACAATAACATCACCATTAAAGAAGATAAGTAATTTAATATTATTTGTTAAATAGAATTTTAGGAGTCTGTGATCTCATTCTTCAACAAGGTATTTAAAGTGTTTTCTAAGTTCAAGTACCTTTTATTAACTTAAGCTAAATTAGTATAATATTATTTTTCTTTAACAAACTTAAGTAGTTAATAGAGGAAGAAGTGACTACTCTTGGAAGAGAGGATAGATACAGAGATGTGGGGCATGAAACTACTTGAATATATCATGAGAGTCAAAGAGTGACTGTCCCAAATGTCAAATCTCCAGACCAACTTTTACACTCACTTGTCAAGTAGGGGGGAAATGAGCTTAAAAGAGGAAGAAAAAACTCCATGAGTTCCTGAAATGAACAATTAGTCAAATTCAGCCCTCCAGTCCAGAGGGCCTCCCTGTGGTGTCTCTTCTACTATTTTCCATATCCCGCTGACATTTAATAATAAACATTTTTACTAATGGACACTCTAAAACCTACTTGATTAAGCAATTGATGCTCATATAATCACATTTCTAGTTATTAATGGAGATAATTGCCACTTCTCATCTCCATTGCCTATATTGTCACACATTATCCTTTTCTTCACTAATTAAAAAAAAAAAAGCCAGGTACACATCTGTGAATGGTAGAAGAAATAAGAGGGAAATGAGAAATTGCATGTTGCTCTACGCTGTTAGTTTAAAATCTGGGCAACTTCATGCAGAACAGAACAAATTTGGGGAAGACTTAGAGTCAAGAACCTTAGACTCTAAAACATTATCATAAAGTATGAAGATTTAAGAAAATTTTACACACTAAGTATTATTTCTTGGTTTTAAACTAAAAGTATGATTTGTTTTATTACTTTATCATTTTCCAGCTTTGTAAAAATCAGGGTATCAAATAATTTATATGTACGTATAAGACAGATATTTTTATCTTCACATCAATGAAAACCATAACATCCTTAAAGCTATGGAATTTTTCTTGAGCAAAGCTATTTCCTTTTTTAAGTACAAAATGACCCTGAGTAGTGTCATCAATAAATATGTTAATATTTCTTTTGCGGTTAGGCTGTAATAAGCATGTAAGTTTAAAGATATTTTATTGTACAGTTTGTAGGATATTGAGGAATAAAATGACTACATAATGTTTTAAACATTTAATATGGTGATAGAATATTTCAACTGCATAAATATCAGGTACTTTTGTTTCTTTCACCTGTATCTTTATAATAAAAATAACTATTCACTAAATATTTACTATATACCAAGTACTATGTTAAGGCTCTAATTATGTTATCTCTGTTACAAAAACCATAAAAGGTAGATATTACCATGCCTCTTTTAGAAATGAAGAATTTAGGCTCAGAGAGGTTAAGCAACATGCCCAAGGGCACAGAGGAATGAAGTGAAAGAAACAGGATTTCAACTCAGATCAAAGACCAACCGCGTAACAATCTTGTTCAGTACCATCTTCCCCTTGCAGTCTCTTCCGCTGTTCTTTTTCCCTGTCTACAAAAGCAGTCAGATCTTTGTAACCTTACAAACTTTCTAGTGTTGTTTTTCAGGAACTTCTCACATTAATGGTAGCAACCCATGGCCACTTTGTTTTTATAGCCACTACTCCAGTGGAAACCGGTTTCACTAAGGTGACCACTGGCCTCCAAACTGCCCAGTCAATGGAGATGTCTCAATTTTTGTCTTACGGGACCTCTGTTGAGCATTCTATCATCCCCAAACTTTTAGTCTTTGGCTTCTAACACCCTACTCTCCTACCACTGATGATCCCCCTCCTTTCTGCCCATCTTCTTCAGTATCTGCAGTACGTGTTCAAATGCCCCCGTGTTCAATCCGGCCAAGGTATCTCTCTGTGATCACGGCCGTTTTTACAATGTCAAATACAGTTTCTCCCCCGTTTCAGACCTGGGTGTCCAACCTATCCCACAGGCACCCACACAGCACCTAACAGTTCTCCCTGTCTTCTCCATTCCAGTCAGGGTTTCCGCCACCCACCAGGACATCCAAACCAAAACCCTGACAGTTGTCCTTGATTGCTTACTCTCCTTCACAGGCCAGTCAGTCGCCAGGATGCTCTGTTAATTTTACCTCCCAGATATTTCTATACCACACTCCTCCTCCTCCATCTGCATTGTGCTCCTCCTTGGTGTGAGTCCCCATCTCCCTTGTCTTCCACTGTGGCCTCCTAAATGATCTTCCTGCCTCCAGAATTGTTCCCCTACAATTCATCCTCCACACAGCCATTTCTAAAGTAAAAACACTGACCCCTTCAGGCACTTCCAATGTGATCAAGGATCCCATGGGCCTGCACTGGGCCCTTACGGTCTTGTTCCTGCTTACGCCTGTGGTTACAGCTCTTACAGCTTCTGACACCTTATAGTCCCAGTTCCAACTGTTGATCTCATCTGAACACTCTCCCAGCCCACCCCACTGCAGTCCTTGTTTCTTTCATCTGGTTCACACCTAGGTAGAGATCATCTGCTCCAGGAGTCTTCCTGTCCCTGAGTTTAATGCAGCTTCTCTATGATCTCAAAATAGACTGCACACATTGCCATCCCTGCAATTTTAGCATTTTGTGTGTTTCTGGGTCTGTCTTCTTCATCAGTGAACTCCAGATCCTGCAGTACCGTGCCTGGCACTTTATTATTATTTTTTTTTTGTAAATTAGTTTCCTTAAATTGGGGAATAAATAAATGACTGGATTCAACATATCATTTATCACTCATGTGTCCTTCCACTAATTATTTAAGCGATTTGGGTGTGAGTGTCCTCATCTATAAATGGGCTCAGTGATTCTGGCCCATCTTGTGATTGCATAAACCACACGTGCAAAGTGTAAACTATTCTTCTGGGCATTTGCAAGGCAAGTCCGTCTACTTAGACAATGGTATAAATAAACCTGTTTTTACTAATGTGTGCTTCATCATTTCTTCTTTACCTCTTTAGCCTGCATGCTAAGTTTACGGTTTCATCAGAGTTACTTTAGATCATTCACTACAAATAGTAAACTGGTTTTGAAGAAAAAATGGTTAAACCACTGTTTGTTACTCAATACCTCTCAGAAATTGCATAGTAACAAATTTGTGGGGAAAATACAGCTTATTTCAAGGCAGAATATCTAAAAATTTGGAGGAGTTATTTCATTTCTGCATTATCAACTATGCGTTGGGTATTCTGCTCATAATCCAGCTAACCCGCATGCCTCACTGGAAGAAAGATTTTAGAGATTTTTTTTTTTACATCAAATAAACAAGTACAGTTGACACTCTATAGTAAACAGCCCATTGTGAATTTGGGATGTAGGTAATTTGCAATTCCTCTCCTTTCATTCAGATCTTATATTAATTGGATAGGCCTTATCCTACTACCGAGCCTCCACAGGAAGAGTCTCTTTCAGAGCAGAGGGCACCCGCCTCACTGCGTTCCTCATCAGCTCTGCAGTCAATCTGCCCATTCCCTGGGCCCTCGTCCAGCCAGTGCCAACACCGGAGTCCAGCATAGGAGCTGGCCCTTGCAGTTGACACCCTGTTATGAGACGTTCCAGTAAGATAAAGAGTCTCCCCAAGATCTGTGGAGTTCTAAAATTTTACCTCTGGCAAGAATTATTGACGACCCCACTAAAAGAACTAGAATGCCCTTGAATAGATATTTACACAAAGGGCACGCCTAAGCATTCTGGTTTCATAATTCTTGGATGTCTGGTATGTAAGATGAAAACTGTAGTATCTGAACAGGTCTGTCAGTTACATATATTTGAAAATAATTTTTCATGTACACACACAGAAGCAACACTTGAAGTTCTGTACCTCAAAATAAAATAAAAAGGGGACATCTGTAATACTTTCAACAACAAAGATAAATTGTAAAAAATAAGTTATGATGCACGAAACTACATGGTATTATAGTGGAAACTATGCTTCAAGCATTATTTGCTTGAACATTATACATTTACTCAGAATATGAAGATCTGGGAAAACTTGAATAATAATGTCCCAAAGTTCATCTTCTTGTTACAATTTCAAAGAGAACTCACTGCATCTGCCCCAAGAGAAAAAAGAATTCTTTACCATCACTTTGACTAATTTGCCAAATTGTAAGTGGTAGACTTTTTGCTCTACTTTCAGAGACCATTTAATTGCTACATGTTGAGACTATTAATCATATTCCCTTGTCCACTGAATCAGAGAGATGGAGATGGAGGGAGTTAGGAAAGAGCCGATACACACCAAACCCTCCATCCCTTCCCCTGGTATAAATTGCTAAGAAAATATTTTCTGAAACAGCTAATTTGGTTTGTCTATAATGGGCCTCTTTGGTGATAACTATCAACCTGTTCTTAATCAGTGAGATTTCATTGTCGTTTGAAGGGAAACCAGTAAATTATATCCTCAAAATACTAAATGGGCCCGGACGGTGTTGCTCAGTGGTTGAGCATCGACCTATGAATGGGGAGGTCATGGTTTGATTCCCAGTCGGGGCACATGCCCGGGTTGCAGGCTTGATCCCTGCAGTGTGGGATCTCTCTCTCCCTCCTCTCCCTTTCTCTCTGAAATCAATAAAAAATAAAGAAATAAACCCAAAGTTTATTACTTAAAAAATGGGAAGAAAAATAATAGAGCTTACTTTCTGTTTCTTTTCCGGGCTCGGCTGTAGGCTTCTAAACCTTCTGTTAGTGTCTTCAGCTTCTCGGGCTCCACCTGAGTGAAGGTATGAAGACCAGATCACATTACCCAGACCTGCGATTGTTACCACTGTTTTCTCTCTCCTGCTGCACAGCAGGCTCTGCACTGGGGAGGCCTCACTGCCCTGCCCTGCCCAGTGTCGTGTCCTCTCCACGTAGAGCCTGGCCCAGGCTCCAGGCTGCAAACAGCAGTGGAAATGAAAGACTGTTGGGCTTTTAAGTTGTTAACATTTTTAAAACAGTGTTTTAAGAACAAAACTTGGAATTTTAATAACCTTTGATTGGCAAAACGATATAAATCAGAGATCCTGTTTTGCTTTCTTCATTGCCTGCTGTTCAGAAACTGCAAATCTGTGTCCCATCAGGGAGGACAAGAGCAGTGGTGAGTGGAGTTTGCATCTGACCTCCCAGCATAAGGAAAACACTTAAATTTTCTGAGCCTTAGTTTCCTCCTCTTTAAAATGAGGACCATAATACCTACCTTCCTGCTAGAATTGCTGTGAGAACCAAAATGTGACAAGTCACGTGGAAGTTAGCCAAGCATGAGCAGCTAGCATCACCTAGCATGCTAGGGATGCCCTCACAGTCCTTACTGATGTGGGAAGAGGGTGTTGCCACACCTATGGGCAGTCCTCTCCCCTCTCCTGCTCTAGCACTACCACCCTCTGCGAAGCCTCTACCTCGTTACAGTGCGGCCACCAGATGGTAGCTGGGGATCATGGGGGTGGGGAGGTGCCTCTGCCACTCACCCCAATAATCTCTATCTCAGTTTTTGAACCCATCTACCCTAAGAAAAACAATAAATATGAAAATTTGTATGTAACTTGTGAATAAAAACACCTTTAGAAAAACATTGCTATTTTTATTGATCTTTAACAATAAAAGGACAAACTAAGTAAAAACAGTGTTGCTTGTATAAACACAACTTCAAGGCAAATCCCCTGCCCATCCCTTAACCCAGTTCCCCCACCCCTACACTACCTTTATGTAAACATTCAGAGGTTCACAGAATGCCTCATGAGTAAGAAAGTAAACACTAATAAGCAAGGGTATTATTATTAACTTTTGTCTTTAAATCTCCCTGACTGAATATTATTTATAAGTGACTATTTCTTTGACCACTTCAAATTTAGTACAAAAATAATGATCAACACAGTATTTTCACTATCAAGTCTGAAAACAAGCATTTCTAAGTATTCAGTGAGAGAAGTCAAATGGTGATTTTCATATTTTGTCCTAAAGGATTTTAATATTTTATATACACAAGTTCATTGGGGATAACCAATCTATCATTGCCAGAACAAGAGATGACACTCACAGGAGCCATGAAGAAAACGTCTTATCGGGATGATTAGAAAACTTTAAAGTGAATACATCCATGTGTTGTTTAAAAAAAGAAAAAGAAAAAAGGTGCCTGGATACATTTTCACATTTCATGTTAGACATGAGGTACCATGGTGTATTCACTCACACAAAGAGCATATGAAAGAGATTTCACACATTACATTTGTGTAATTTGTAGCTAATTCCACTTATATTTAAATGGCCTTCTTGGCAGCAGGAAGGAAGCTCTCCTGTAACAGAAACTTCTATTAGACACAACTGGTCTAGAGAGAGACCTCAGAGGGACGGATGGATGCAGGCAACAGAGCAGGTTCACTGTGAAACAAAGCAAGACACCACAGTGCAAACTTTCCCTATTCATCTTAATTAAAAAGAAAACAAGGCTAAGTTAGGCCAAACAATTTTATAAAGTCTTCCATTTTCTTTAATTTTAGTTAAAGAAGGAATAAGGGGCAGTAGAGACATTCTTGTGCATTTTTATATAAAAGGCACTGCTTTATTATTGAATATGGTAATACTGAAAGCCAGTATTATTTTTGTTATTTTGCAGGTGGGACTCAGGAGTTTAAGTAACAGGGCCAGCACTGAAATTCATGTCTGACTCCAAAGCACTCAGCTTCCCTCTACCATACCAACTCTGATAAATATTGAAATATACAGTCATTTTATATATAACTAGAGGCCCAGTGCATGGATTTGTGCACCAGGGGGTCCCTCGGCCTGTCCCGTGCCCTCTCACAATCCAGGACCCCTTGGGGGATGTTGGACTGCTGGTTTCGGCTTGATCCCAGCAGTCCAGGCCAAGGGACCCCACCAGAGCACAAATCTGTGCACCTGGTGTCTAGTAAGCCTATAAGATCTTTGGTTAATCTCTTCTTGCCCTCCCCCTTCCTCCCTTCCCTCTGAGTTTCATCAGATCAGTCTGTTCCATGTTTCCATGCCTGTGCATTGAGTGTCTGCCCCCTGGTGGTCAGTGCGCATTATAGCTACCAGTCGAATGGTCACTTAGGCTTTTATATATATTTTATATATAATATGCATACACACACACACATACTAAAAAATTAAGTGAAATTATTTTAAATCAAATGAAAATTTTACAGAAATTTAGACACTAGTCCAAATTTGTTTTCAAAATTTTTCTATGCTTAGATAATTTTCTGGTGATTTTTCTGAATTAAATCTCTACAAGATTTCTTCATTTAATTTTGCCTGTAAGGCCCAAAGATACTCTCACAACAAACTACATTATTTATAAAGGAGTCAATGAACTTGACAGAGAAAGCAATGATGGTGCTTTCTAAAACTAACTATACACATATGTCTATGTATTTCTGATATAACAGGATCATACATCTCCAGAGGTAAATATATAGTTTATTTTGTTTGAAGAAAATTTAATAGAATTTTAGTACTCTACTGTACTGTGAAATATAATATACTAGAGGCCCAATGCACAGAATTCGCGCAAGAGTAGGCCTTCCTACTTCCGGCTGCTGGCACCGGCTTCCCTCTGGCACCCAGGACCTGGGCTTCTCTCTGGCCACTGGCAGGCATCTGGGACCCAGGCTTCCCTTGTAGCCCTGGCATCCAGAAGGATGTCCGGAAGGATGTCCAGTCTAACTAGCATATTACACTTTTATTATTATAGATGAAGAGTACATGTTGTTTCTGGGGAAATATTCATAAATCTTCACAATATTCAAGAAGCTCTTTAAAGATACCACCCACCCAAATGGTATCAGAGATGAACAAAATGAATTCAATTTCTAGGAAAATAGAAATCATATTTAATGATTTAATAAACATTCCCTCACAAATTACCTGGCTAACTTGTAAATGAAAAAAATACTGGAAAATCGAATACATATATAGATTTAATATATATTAAAAAGGTTAAACATATTTTATAAAACTGACACTGAAGGAGCAGGAAACAACATACACAATACTCTAACTTATAATTATAATCTTATTAGAGGCCTGGTGCATGGATTCATGCATCAGTGGGGTCCCTTGGCCTGGCCTGCGGGGATCTGGCTGAAATTGGCCCGGTGTACAAATTTGTGCACTGGTGGGGTCCCTCGGCCTAGCCTGTGGGGATCAGGCTGAAACCAGCAGTCCAACATCCCCTGAGGGGTCCCGAATTGCAAGAGGGCACAGGCCAAGCCAAGAGACCTCACTGGTGCATGAATCCGTGCACCGGGCCTCTAGTATGCATATAAGATCTTTGGTTAATCTCTTCCCGCCCTCCCTCTCTCTCCTTCCCCTCTGAGATTCATCAGTCTGTTCCATGTTTCCATGCCTGTGCATTGAGCTTCTGCCCCCTGGTGGTCAGTGCTCATCATAACTACCAGTCAAATGGTCGAACAGCTGCTTAGGCATATACACATATATACACATATATATGTATACATATATATATACATATACATATCATATCTAATAAAAGAGAAACATGGTAATTGGCGTACGACTGCTACCCTTCCCATTGGCTAATCAGCGATATATGCAAATTAACTGACAGCCAAGATGGCGACCGACAGCCAGGCAGCTTAAACTGAACATGAGGCTTGCTTGCTTCAGTGACGGAGGACTGCAAGTGTGTCATAGTGACCAGTCATTCCCAGTCTTTCTGCTGTTAGGGTCAGTTTGCATATTACCCTTTTACTATATAGGATAGAGCCCTGGTGCATGGGAGGGGGCTGGCTGGTTTGCTCTGACGGGTGTTCAGGATCTGGGTGGGAGTCCCGCTTGGGTGCATGGCCAGCCTGGGTGAGGGGCTGATGGCTGTTTGCAGCTGGTCACACCCCCTTCAGGGTGGGGGTCCCCACTGGGGTGCCTGGACAGTCTGGGTGAGGGGCAGAGGGCCGTTTTTAGGCTGGTGGGGGACTGAAGCTCCCAGCCTCTTCTTTTTTTCTTTTTTTTTTTAATTCTGGGATTTATTTACCTTCTATAGCTGTCACTGGAGCTGAGATCCAGCTCCAGCTCTGAGGCCCGGCTCCAGCTCTGAGGATGTGGCTGGCTGAAAGCAGGTATCTGGGTTTGTTTAGCTCCTATAATTGAAACTCTGTTACTATCACTGGCACTCTATGCTCTGAGCCCGCTGACGGCTGAAAGCAGGTATCTGGAGTTTGTTTAGCTTCTATAATTGCAACATTGTTGCATCCAGAGCTCAGAGCTGGGCCACACAGGTGGGGAACCTTGGCTTCCTCCATCACTGGAGCAAGCAAGCCTCCTGTTCACTTCAGCTGCGTGGCTGCCAGCTGCCATCTTTGTTGGCAGTTAATTTGCATATCCTGTTGATTAGCCAATGGGAAGTATAGCGGAGGTATGGTTAATTACCTTGTTTGTCTATTATTAGATAGGATAGATATTCCCTGTACATTTACATGCCAGGGGTTCCAAAATTATTTCAAGCCGATCTTGATGTCAAATTGGGGGAGGACTTTATAATGAATCATTACTGCCCACATATTCTCATTCTAGTATGACGATGCTATAGTAAAGGCCAGCATGACATTTATACTTATATCATTTAAGAACTAGAAAAAGACACTTAGAGTTTATATGGATTTAAAATTCCCATATTACCTCATATATAAACGTGCACATATGTTCATTTTTTTACTCCTAAATCTCTTCTTTCACTCATTCACATTCTTTAGGTAT